GAAAGAAACAAATGTTGCAAATAAACCTAATAAGTTTAAAAATTCCAACTGGCGGGAGGCAGACTAGTTGGCTATTTACAAGCATAACAAAGGAATTGAACTAGGGTCTACCGAGAAACAACTCCAGCTTAGTGGTCAGAGCGGGACTTGAACCCGCGACCTCTGGATTTCAAGTCCGGCGCCCTAACCACTCGGCCAAGCTGCCTCCTACGAACTTTTATGCTAAACAAGAGGTATTTGGTTACGAAGGCATACTCGCTCACTCACTCACTCATCTTCTTCGCTTCTGTGACTGGACTGATATGATAAGGTACACTACATACTACACGCCGCATAGTTAAAATCAGGAATGATGAGGACATAGCATGCGGGTGAGTGTTCTCGTTTTTAACAGTTTACCCTTACATCTACATTTTTTTTCACGACTTGACAAGCTCAGAACTTCTTGTCGACCTCCTGTTACAAAAATAACCTGGTAAAGCTGGTTTACATAATAACGTGCTTGCATGAGAGTAACGCGATTTTATGGTAGAAATTCTTCATACGAGCCAAGTGGCTCATCAGGCCGGGCCGAGCTTATCCCGGTTTCAGTAGCATGAAGCGACTTGGAGTATTTCTACTCCCCCTGTCCATCACGGGGTTACCCCCAGCATTAAATTCGCTGTTACCCATTTATACACCTGGGTGGAGAGAGGCACTGAGAGTAAAGTGTCTCGCCCAAGAACACAACACAATGTCCCCGGTCAGGGCTCGAACCCGGACCGCTAGATCCGGAGTTGAGCGCACTAACCATGAGGCCACCGCGCCTCCCACAGCGGTACATGGTTTTAATTGCAGCCCCTTAAGCCAGATTAAGTAAAAAACATTACACTGAAGGATGTTGTCAAGGCAATTCTTTAATTAGAGATAAAATAGCTATTTACATTCAACAGGTGATAAAGGATAAACTATTGAAATATTCGTTTCCACTATTGTGAACGAATGATTTCACATTTTCATAACTGAGATTTTGCAATCTCATCTCAAAATCTCTAACATATATAATAAAAAGACACGAAAATATCTAGAAAGACTGAGAAAACAGAATTATAGAATGGATTCTCCAGAATGAACAATCTTATCAACTTGAAACGTGAAAAACTTGAAATTCTGGCCAAAATTGATGGAAGTGCATCAGAAGCAATCTTAAGCAAGGAATTGAATTTTGAAACAGAAAGTTGAATTCCCAGTTGAAAATGTTGTACCTATTATAACTCCGCAAATAAATACTTTAACAATGGACAGAATCCGTCATTTCAAGGTAAAAACTTCACCCATAGGGCTAATTGACTAAAATAGGAGAAATCTTAATTTCCGTCAGGAATTGAAACGAGATGTGTTAAAGGAAATGTTTTCACAAGTCTCGTCTATAAGAAATGCTGCTCATTCTTTCTTGCCCTTTTTTTCCGTCTCCTGAATCTGATCGATCATCTTACGAGCATAATGAAGTCGACTGGCTAAACTCCTGCAGCATCCATGTTTCTCAATGTTCTTTAGAGGGAATGTACGGAATTTCT